ACCTAACAAAAAATCTGGTGTTTGTAAATGGGATAAGATAATCTAATACCTATAAATGTCCCATTAAGAAACTGGCACATTTATTATGGTGTATAAAATATTAATCTACTCCCTTGAAAAAAAAGTGACAAGGACTGTGTGTCCTTCCCTTTAGGAAAAGAGGCTCCATTATGTTGCCATATTAATCAGATGTTTATCCTGAATCATTTTTCTCAAAGTAGTAGTAGTTAAATAGCCTATGTCCTCTTTGACATGATTCTTCTTTCTGTGTTGACTTTTGCAAATGAATCTGTTAGTAAAGGTTGTAAGTCTATCCTATGACCATGAGATGATGTAAGCTTAACCATCTTATTTAGCCATCACTTCTACTAGTTTGTTCTTACTAATGTTATACTCTAATCAAATAATTCAACGCAGGTTATCAGCCAACCCCAAACATAAGCGATGTAAATAATTTTCCCCATTAGCTAGAAACTGGAGAAAGAGCTAAGATAAGTGAGAGGGAACTCTCTTTGGCAGCCATGCAGACCTTTGACCCTCATACTGATGTTGTTTTCTGTAACAAGGAGGAATGATGCTAACTACTCCTCTAAAGGGAGAAAATACCAAATGTTAAGATAGTTTAGCAAGTTAACTAGTTCACCTCTTTAACCATAATTAAGAGACTAGTTTATTGGTATTCTCATTGCATTTCTAAGATAGAACTCTGTATTTATGTCTGATGAGTAGAAGCAATAGACAATCATATATATATTGTTTCACTTTATAATATATTAAATAATTCCCAACCTTTCTGATATTTTAATAAGCTTAACAAGAACATCAGTTTGTAGTCCTTGAATACTCACAGTAGTCAAAAGAAGTACATCATGGACAATTAATGGTGTTCATATTATTGATGAACCAGTGACAGGTGGTGAAAAGTAAGTTGCTTAATACTTACAATAGGAAATATTATTTGCATTGAACCATTTTTTTAAAAAGAAAAAAAATACTTTTATATTTACTCCTGGTACCATGACCGTTCAGAATATTCCTTTTTGAAAAAGAGTATGTATAGGTTTGGGGCTGGAGAAATGGGTCAGTGGTTATGTATAGACATACATCCATGTGTTCTTGGTCATCTTGACCATTTTAATAATAATTAATATGACCCCAAGTAGTAAATATCAATAATAAACTTCATATTTTGATCATAGAATTTTTAAAGATGCTCATTGTTGATTTGGCCTGAGCATATTTCACAGGGATGAACATTTCTCCAATTTTCAAAATTGTTTTACAATGTTTTTTATAAGTTTTAGAATTGATACCTGATTTTTTTTTTATTCCTCATACTTTTCCCTCACAACAGAAACCAGGAATGGATCTGGCAGACACCTACATTATGTTTGTTCGACAAAACCAGGATATTCTTCGAGAAAAGGTCAATGAAGAAATGTATATAGAAAGATTGTTTGATGTAAGTAGGTATCCTTGCATGACATGCTGGTGTTAATGATTCACTTAAAGAGCAAAGTTGCCTACCCAAGGCTCGTTTGCAAAGCCAACTCCCCTTTGGGGGGATCTTTTCATCTGTTCAGCAAATGCACTTGGTAAATTTTGTAGTTCTTCGACTGCTCAGGTAATTTATAATTAGTTCATATTCTACATGGAAACTGTCACCTTTAGAATAGGACTCTCAGAAATCTTCTGAGGTTTTAACAAGCCCAGTGATGATCCCTTGCCATTGGGTCATTCCATACCTGGAATCATGTGGTAATGAGTTTGGCCCATCCTATAAAATAACTGTAAGCCCATGTATTCTTTACAATAAACAAGGAAGTATCTGCAATGGGACAGTTATTAAACATGTTTAGCTTGATTTAAAATATTGATGTTATATATATATATATA